ATTCCCCTTTTTAGAGCTAATAAATAATAATAAACGTTACAAAGAAATAGAGCTGAGTATCATTGGCATAACAGTGAAAGCTAACACCATGTTTCCTGATGATTTGTAAAGCGTGAAAAGCAACGGTCCTAGTACTGAGCCTTGTGGTACTCCATACTGCATTTGTGAACGATTTGATACTTCTTCATTCATTGCTATGAATTGATGATGTGAGATAAGTATGATTTTAACCATGCCAATGCAATTCCACTAATGCCAACATAATTTTCTAGTCTATTCAAAAGAATGTTGTGGTTGATAGTTTCAAATGCAGCACTAAGATCCAGTAGCACTAATAGAGAGATACAACCACGATCGGATGATAAAAGCAGGTAATTTGTAACTCAGATGAGAGCAGTCTCAGTACTATGAATCTGTCTAGATCCTGACTGGAAAACCTCACAGATACAATTTTTCTCTAAGAAAGATCAGTTGTGAGGACACTACCTTTTCTAGTATCTTTGACAGAAAAGGTAGATTTGAGATCAGTCTGTAATTAACTAATTCTCCAGAATCAAGTTGTGTGTTTTATTTTACACAGGCTGGACTGAAAAAAGTGGAACTCCAATTAGTAAAACACCTAGTAAACTATACTCAAATGCAGCAAATGCCATTTAAATATTTATTTAAACATTTCAGTCTGCTTATAAACAACAGTCAACATTTTTCGTTATAATAAATGTTATAACAGTTTGATATTCTTCTCGTGAACAAATAGTACATTTTGCACATTATAAAGTCTTTTGGGAAGTTGCTTACTGAAATCATGACATCAGTAACTGATTACTGTTTTGTTAACTTACTAGTTCCATATCTGCAACCATCTGCAAACACTGAAAAAACAGAAGTTTGCTCATGTCAAGTGAAGGTCAATGTTAGTAAATCAGTCACCGAACGCCCTTCTTCCCCAAATGTTTCATTTTAAGATTACACAACTCAAGACTCCTCATCACTTTCATCATCTTCCTCTTTACTCTTCTGTTCTTTCTCCTCACCATCATCTTCTTCCTCTGATGTCTCGTCATTGTCATCATCCTCAGCCCTGAGTGTACAAACCCACATGGGTCACTTCAACTGACTTCAATTTGAAATGAAATATTTTAACATTTAAACACAAGTTTATAACAGAATGAGAAAAAAAGTCTCACTGGACTGGTCTGTTGAGATTCACAAAGTCTCTTCCTGAGTCCACATCGAAAGGATCTGGAATTTAAAAAAAAAAAAACACACACACAAAGTTACATCAAAGTTAGTATTTTCAAAACATTTAAAGTAAATGTGAGATATTAAATCATTGCATGAACTGTACCTATATCCTCTTCCTGAGGGGCGGCACTGAGAAACTCTTTCTCCACAGCCAGTAGTTCCTCTTCTGATTGGCTGGCTGCATAACGCTCTAGAAGAGTCTTATTCAGCACCAAAAATCCCAAACCCCACTTAAACTTCCTCAGCAGGAGCACAGCAAGGTCACGAAATCCTGATGCATGATCACATAGACACACATACGCATGTCAACATCTAGCAAATTTGCACAATTTAATCTCAGCTGCTGTTATTAAACTGTACTCCTGTTAAAAAATTTGGGGTCAATAAGATTTTTGGAATGCTTTTAAAAGAAGTCTCTTAAGCTCACCAAGGCTGCATTTGTTTGATCAAAAATACAGTAAAAAACAGTAACATTAATAGTAACAAATGAAACCATGTTGTAACGTGTTTTATTCAATAAAGTAAAACTGCACACTCATTTAAGCATTGTTTATTAGTTTCAGTAAAACAAGTAGCTTTTGTCAAGGTATGAGGTGTTTATTAAGGTATGAAGTGTTTTATTACCATGATAATATTTTGTCGGAGTAGTTGCAGCATTTAAAAATAGAACAAAACATTCTCTAGTTCAAAAGTTTAAGATTTTTAATGTTTTTAAAGAAGTCTTCTGCTCACCAAGGATGTATTTATTGGAACCAAAATACAGTAAAAACAGTAATATTGTAAAAAATCATTAGAATTTAAATTTTCTATTTTAATATATTTTCAAATGTAATCTAATCTTGTGACGCAAACTGAATTTTCAGCATCATTACTCCAGTCTTCAGTGTCACACGATCCTTCAGAAATAATTATATTATACTGATTCGCTGTTCAAGAAACATTTATTATTATTATCAATGCTGAAAACAGTTGTGCTGTTTCATATTTTTGTGAAAGAATTGACCTTTTTTCAGGATTCTTTGATGAATGAAAGTTGAAAAAAAATAGCATACAGACATGCAAAACCCACACACGATAGCAGCAACAGAGAAACCAATAGCTGAGATCTGCTTACCCACAATACAGAAAGTGGCGGCATAAGCCTCAACGCAAGACAGCTTGCATGGCTTTCCGTAGTTTACAGGATTTGCTGCGACCAAGTACGGCAAAAGCCTCGGATGTGAGCCAATCATTTTGCTGAAAGGCATGTCTTCAAGCCGCGCCCATGAACAGTCAATCACGGCTAGACCACCCTGTGCCACAATCTCCCTGGAAATGAAGAATACTATAGGTTAAGAACTGAGAGAAATGTTTGTGTTTTTTTAAAATTTTTATCTACACTCCCATTCAAAAGTTTAGGGTCGGTACGATTTCTTAAGTCTCTTATGTTTACCAGACAGTATTAATTTGATCAAAAATACAGTAAAAAATGTGAAATATTATTACAATTTAAAATAACTGTTTTTTATTTGAATATATTTTAAAATGTAATTTATTCCTGTGATCAAAGCTGAATTTTCAGCATCATTACTCCAGTCTTCAGCGTCACATGATCTTCAGAAATGATCCTAATATGCTGATTTGCTGCTCAAGAAAGATTTCAGATTATTATTACTGTTGTAACCCAATTCTTTGATGAATAGAATAGTTCAAAAGAACAGAATTTATTATCAAATTAAATGTGTCTTCTTTAATTGGAATTGTAACTTTTCTGTCACTTTTGGTGAATTTAATCCATCTTTGAGTAAGACTTGAAAAACAAATGATGGATTTTATAAAGCAAACGATGATTTTGTGAAAATGCTTCCTGTGGCCCACTTGTCTGCAGGTGTAACATATTTGATTCCCATCGGGCTGAGTATCAGGCCATTGAAGCGCTGGCTGAGTCGCAGGCAGCGCACAAAACCTTTCCTGGCCAGCTTCCGTCCTGTACACCGTTTCGGGTCACAGTGACCCAAATCCCACATGGCCAACTGACAGGGCAACTTCACACCTCCTGCCGCCTCTGAATCCGCATCCTCACTGGCTGAAACACACACACACAACTTCATTATTCACAACTCATGTCTGTCAAGCTTTATTACAGAAAATTAAAGAGAGTAATTCACTTGATGACATGAATCTAAGTTCATGTTTCAATAAAATGACAACATTACATGCACACGGGGAAGTCGTGGCCTAATGGTTAGAGAGTCGGACTCATAACCCAAAGGTTGCAGGTTCAAGTCTTGTAGGTGGGGGGAGTGAATGTACAGCGCTCTCTCCCACCTTCAATACCACGACTGAGGTGCCCTTGAGCAAGGCCCCCGAACCCCCAACTGCTCCCCGGGCGCCGCAGCATTAAAAAAAATGGCTGTCCACTGCTCCGTGTGTGTTCACTGCTGTGTGTGTGTGTGTGTGTAAAGTTTAGGGTCGGTACGATTTCTTAAGTCTCTTATGTTTACCAGACAGTATTAATTTGATCAAAAATACAGTAAAAAATGTGAAATATTATTACAATTTAAAATAACTGTTTTCTATTTGAATATATTTTCAAATGTAATTTATTCCTGTGATCAAAGCTGAATTTTCAGCATCATTACTCCAGTCTTCAGCGTCACATGATCTTCAGAAATGATCCTAATATGCTGATTTGCTGCTCAAGAAAGATTTCAGATTATTATTACTGTTGTAACCCAATTCTTTGATGAATAGAATAGTTCAAAAGAACAGAATTTATTATCAAATTAAATGTGTCTTCTTTAATTGGAATTGTAACTTTTCTGTCACTTTTGGTGAATTTAATCCATCTTTGAGTAAGACTTGAAAAACAAATGATGGATTTTATAAAGCAAACGATGATTTTGTGAAAATGCTTCCTGTGGCCCACTTGTCTGCAGGTGTAACATATTTGATTCCCATCGGGCTGAGTATCAGGCCATTGAAGCGCTGGCTGAGTCGCAGGCAGCGCACAAAACCTTTCCTGGCCAGCTTCCGTCCTGTACACCGTTTCGGGTCACAGTGACCCAAATCCCACATGGCCAACTGACAGGGCAACTTCACACCTCCTGCCGCCTCTGAATCCGCATCCTCACTGGCTGAAACACACACACAACTTCATTATTCACAACTCATGTCTGTCAAGCTTTATTACAGAAAATTAAAGAGAGTAATTCACTTGATGACATGAATCTAAGTTCAACATTACATGCACACGGGGAAGTCGTGGCCTAATGGTTAGAGAGTCGGACTCATAACCCAAAGGTTGCAGGTTCAAGTCTTGTAGGTGGGGGGAGTGAATGTACAGCGCTCTCTCCCACCTTCAATACCACGACTGAGGTGCCCTTGAGCAAGGCCCCCGAACCCCCAACTGCTCCCCGGGCGCCGCAGCATTAAAAAAAATGGCTGTCCACTGCTCTGTGTGTGTGTGTGTGTGTGTGTGTGTGTGTGTGTGTGCACTTTGGATGGGTAAATGCACAGCACTAATTCCGAGTACGGGTCACCATACTGACACCACACTTCTATCACAGACCTTGCAGAGCCTCATGCATCTCCTCTGTGAAAGTTTCTAATGATTTCCCCTTCATCCTGTGTCGTGTCTCTTTGCCCTTGTGAATGGGTTGCTCACATTTACCCTGTTTTTTACGCCCCATGCCTGAAATCCACCTTACTTTTGTTTTTAGCAATAACTTTAACTTTCACACTGTATTATAACAACCACCTTACATCCTACAACACACCAATAATGCATCTACTTTAGGCTGAATCATGTCATGAACGGCACAAACATAAGTTTATAAGGTTTTAGAGCAAATCCCAAAGATTTATTCCGACACACTGTTCCTCGAGGCCAAAACACGGTGATGTAATGAAAGTTATGAAACATGGCTGTTACTGTAACAAAGCACAAAATACGGAAATTTATTGAAATTACATCAATACGAATATAACATTGTTTTAATTAAGGCTATACAATACAAATAGACATTTTCAGTTCAATACTATGAACGAGTTATACAAAACAGACACATAATAATCGATAAAGTAAAAACGGAAGAGGACTTTTATTTAAGCAGAATTTCACTCCGGAAATGTCGAATTATATTTTTTTGGTTCACGGACATCGCCGCATTTCGAACATTCACGAACGTTTTTATATATATATATCGTCTTTGTGTTTAATATAAGCAGCAAAAGCGACACAATTATGGCAATTAAATAGAATTATATCTGCGTATCTGATAAAACTATTTAAATAGTATGTCTTTTATCGCTGCGTTTTACACGTATCAAGTTCATAAAACATAATATCATCTTCCGCAGCTGAGCTTCGGTCTCAAATGACCCCTTTAAAAAAAAAAAAACATCTTAAATTAGTATAATTTTTGTGAATTTTTTCCTAACTAAAATTTCAATATAATTTTTTATTATTTTTTTTTTAATCCACTGGGTATCAAGTGAAAACTATTAAACCACACTGAAATATGGTTTAGGTTCCTATGCTTTGGAGATCAAAAATATCAGGTCAGGGCATTTGTTTCTGCCACAGGATGAAAAAATAAAAAAGGTAATTGCGACTTCACAATTCTGAATTGTAAGAGGTAAACTTGCAATTACACGTTTACAACTTGTAATTGCGGGATGTAAGTCAGTATTGTCACTTAAAAAGTCGCAGTTACCTGTTTTATTTTTTTTAGTCCATAGCAGAAACAAGTAAGTAATTGTGTGCAATTAAAAGAAACCGATTATTATTTCTAATTTTTTATTATTTTTTTTTTAATCCACTGGGTATCAAGTGAAAACTATTAAACCACACTGAAATATGGTTTAGGTTCCTATGCCATAGGATTCCATAGGAACCTATATTAGGTTCCTATGCTTTGGAGATCAAAAATATCAGGTCAGGGCATTTGTTTCTGCCACAGGATGAAAAAATAAAAAAGGTAATTGCGACTTCACAATTCTGAATTGTAAGAGATAAACTTGCAATTACACGTTTACAACTTGTAATTGCGGGATGTAAGTCAGTATTGTCACTTAAAAAGTCGCAGTTACCTGTTTTATTTTTTTTAGTCCATAGCAGAAACAAGTAAGTAATTGTGTGCAATTAAAAGAAACCGATTATTATTTAGGGATCTTATCTATGCACAATCAGCTTGTAACACTCCAAAGAGAAAGGAAAACTTGAAATCGCATCATATGACCCCTTTAACACCTATCTACAATGTGCCTTGTCTGATTGTTCGCTTGTGTTTCAGTGTATCCGGTTTTGAGTGAGGCGTTACAGAAGGAGTGGGATGAAGTTGCTCAAGCTCGATATGAAGATCTCATCACAGAACAGGTGACAAACAAACACACAATGTTACAATCTTCATGCATCTGAGAACATCATAATAATAGGTGTTTGTGTGTGTTTAGGGTTATAATAAGCTGCTGAAGGAGCTGTTTGAAGAGGCTGGTCTCCTGAGAAAAGCTCAACAGCCGAAAGCAGAGAAGAGCACGACGTCTCTCACACATCAGAGTCTGGAGCAGTGCACACAGGTCCGACAGACAAATATTCAAGCCTAAATCTAAGATTTATGTATTTGAGTTGCATTTAACATGTCCATCCCTTTGGATTTTTACAGTTTCAAACAGATTAATAAATGTAATGTGATGAATATTAATCAGTCATACGTAAATGAAAGAAGTAGCACTCACCTCAAGCACTCAAAAAAAATCATGGCGTAGTTTATATTTTATTTTATTGAATTAAAATAGTCATATTTTCAAATTGCATTTATTCACATTGCTTAGAATCAGTTCTTTGTAAAAAAAAAACAATTTAATTTATTAATCTAAAAAGTATGAACATGGTTAAAATATGGCTAACTGGAACAAGCAATGTTCAGTTAAAATGCATGAGTTGTTTGAAACCAATTGGATTTAATTATGATAAATATATACAACCTGGTTAAAATGCGTTCAGCTTTTTACAGCTATTACAGAAATCGTACCTGTTTCATTGATGTATGACTGACAAATATGCATCACATTGAGTTTAGCAGTTTGTTAACTGTGTAATACAAATGTAAAATTCATAAATCTTAAATTTAGGTCTAAACGTTTTTGTGCAGGACACGTGCTCTGCGCTCGGCTTCAGTTTTGCACGTGCTTTTAGCATGTGTGTTTATTTTAACAGGATTTTGAAAAGCAGAGCACTGAGATAGAGCAGCTACAATCACTCTTAACACAACATAACATCTCCTACCAGACGACAACAGGTGAGACACGTGCTCATCTAATGGACTCAGTGAACACCAAAAAGTCACTTAAAATGACTGAATGTATCAAATCATTTCTTTATCTTAAAAAAGATGATAAATAGTTCAATAATTCTAAGTCATTTATTCTGTCAGAATTTGCTTTTTTGGGTGAACTATCCCTTTAAGGTGCATTACTGGTGCTCAAACAGGTTAAGTGCAGCAGTTAAATTCTTCCTGCTCTTTCAGGCAGGACACGGGATCAGGGTCCCTTACCCGTCCAGGACCAGCACCTCCTCGGCGACACTGGCTTTATCGCTGATCTGCACTAAGATGCCCAGCAGGATCACAAAACATACAGCTAATCATTCAGGGAAATAATGCTACTGTGAGATAATGGTATTTATTGATTTTTAAATTTGATCTGACAATGTATTATGAAAAATAAAATATTTATGTATTATGAAATATTTTATGATATTACAATGACACAGTTGTGCTATCAGTTTTTAAAGGTGATGGCATGTTATTTTTTTTTGTGCATTTTTATTTGCATAAAAACATAATCTCTGTGTTTTCCATTAATAAAACATGAGATGCAGGACAGTGTAATGAAAAGATAATGGTGTAGAGATCTAGATGTGTCTTCTTACAAGTTTTAACTTTTTGCAACTTGGGCACTGCATCTTTAGAATGCGGTGTTATGTGTGGGACACTAAAAAGGACATGAGCGCAACTGTCAAAAACATCTGTCTAGTGCATTTTTACATAGAAAAACTGCATGAACCACCCCTGAGCATCGTTGGCTCAACTAATAGTGAGTGTGTTTTTCTGCAAGCTAATTTTATTATCCAGACATACAGTGGGGCAAAAAAGTATTTAGTCAGCCACCAATTGTGCAAGTTCTCCCACTTAAAAAGATGAGAGAGGCCTGTAATTTTCATCATAGGTATACCTCAACTATGAGAGACAAAATGAGAGAAACAAATCCAGAAAATCACATTGTAGGATTTTTAAAGAATTAATTGGTAAATTCCTCGGTAAACGTCCACACCAGCGAACGATATCGTCTGTTTACTCTAAGCGCATGCTCGTCTGCCGCTTTAAATTCTCCAGCTTTTTTTATCGTTCATCAGATGAAAAAAAAAATCGTTTTGAAAGTGATTCCAACGATATCGTTTCTCTTTGTCTTTATCGTTTTAAGGCCCGTTCACACCAAGAACGATAACTATAAAGATAACGATAAAGATATAGTTCTAAAAATCGTTCTCAGTATTAAAGAATAGCATAGTTCACTCCACAACGATAACGATACAGAGGAACGATATCGTTGTGATCACTTTCAAAACAATTTTTTTTCCAGCTGAAGAACGATAAAACACTGACAGCCAATCAGAATCAATCCTGCTGTAACAAGCTCAAGAATTTAAAGCGGCAGATGCACATGCGCTTAGAATAAACAGACAATATCGTTCGCTGGTGTGGACGCTAATATCGTTATCTTTATAGTTATATTTATAGTTATCGTTCTTGGTGTGAACGGGGCTTTAGTTGTGGCGTGGACTCTGCTATTCTTTAATATTGAGAACGAGTTTTAGAACTATATCTTTATCGTTATATTTATAGTTATCGTCCTTGGGGTGAACAGGCCTTAACTCAGGGTATTCCATGAATAAAAGTTGGGTGGGATTTTATTTTGTATTTTAGTTGGATTGTGGGTGTTATTTTAATTAATTAATTAATTAATTTACTAATCAGTAAAACAGTGTCTTGAACTGGACTGACACCTACTGGCATGGATGTAGATTTACATAAAAGTTCTCCATGCTATGGTAGAAATACTCTAGCCTTAATCACAAGTGTATTTGTCACCCATAATTTATTCTGCAACTGAAAGTTTTCAATAACAGTCTCAACATGGCAGCTGCCATAAGGGCGGACCACCCTTCATGTAGATCGAACCGGCTTTTTCAAGGCCACTAATATGAATGAGTCTTCATCTCATATGAGTATTCATCGACGTAAATGTACTTTCCCTTCAGCCTGAGGCTTATTCATTTCACTTCTGGTGTGAAAAGGCTTTTATATTTGCCAAAAATATAACTTTTTTTATTTTAAAAACAAACAAGCAAGCCCTGTCCGGATTTAAAAAGTAACGCAAAAGTAACGTAAACGCATTACTTTCCAAAAAGTAACTAAGTAATTTGATTAGTTACTTTTTTTATGGAGTAACGCAATATTGTAATGCATTACTTTTAAAAGTAACTTTCCCCAACACTGAATATTTGCATTATTATTATATTATTAGAAGTATAATACATTTCTAAATAGATGTAGGCTACCTTTAAAACCAAAAGCTAGTTGTTTAGGCTAGCCTTGTTTTATTATGAAATCGCAGAGAATAGAGACTTGAATTCATAACTTTGATTTGCTCTGGGAACGTGTGGATCCAGTATTGAGGTTTGATTCGTGAACAAAACGTTGTTGGAACCTTTTAAATTATAATAGTGATAGTAAATCTTTCGACTGAAGGAGAACATTTGAAGTACACCTTTTTGGCGGAAACATAATTTAAATAACCCATTCAAAAACGTAAAGCGTAAATGTATTTTACTATAAAAACGAACACTTTGTTTGGGAACTCTTTTGAGTGATGACTCGTTTGTTTGATGAATCATTCAAATGAACTGTCCGAACGAACCGATTCGCTACCATGACTCGTACTTGCTACAATCCGGTAGCTTGAGATTTGATCAACTCTTTCTGAACCACTAGATGGCAGGATCCAAAGCTCTATCGTTTTCACATTTCAGCCCAGTTTTCTGCTTTGTGTAAACAAGCCACGCATCAAGCCAATATAGCACTGTCATCTACACAGAAATACCCTTCTCACACACTCCAGGCTATTATTTGCTCCTGTCCAAGTCTCCATCACTAGACAGTATTAGCAGAACAAACAGCTCAAACTCGCAGATCACAGACAAAACCCTCAAGAAAGCCGTGTCAGGCCTGCAGTTTCTCTTTGGTTGTAAATAAGATGTAATATCTGAGGATCTAGCCACTGTCTGCAGAGAAGCATCTTGTTAGAAGCCGAAACAGGCAGAGGAGAAGACCTTCAGAGAGTTCAGCTGAAAATGACCAGACCGTGAAAAAGAAAATCCGATTATGCAGAGATACCCGAGCCCACCCGAGAGCAAATACAACTCGTTTTTACTTCTCCTTCAGCTTTTGTCCATGCTATGCAGTTCCTAAAGTGTTCTGTTTGGTTTTGGGTACGCTAGGTTCTGGGTCTAATTGACCCTTCACCAAAAATGATGAAAAAAATAAAGAAATCAGGTAAACCTTTAATATGAATAGCCTACTTCTCACACATTACAAAACTGCATAATAAGAACATATTTTATACATAGAAATTAATATTCTAAATATTATTTTAAATATAGGCCTATTTTTATTTTAAATTAAAATGTGTATTTTTAATTGTTTTATTAATTTGAATCTACGCATGGCAAATGACAAGATCATTCACATCCCAACAAAACTCATATATGAACTGATAAAAATGTACTCTTTCAACGCAGCATATTTCTTTGAATAAAAGTGTCTGCCAAATGCATAAATGTAAATATGCCCTCAGAGGGTAGAGAAACAGATATAACAAAATACATACTTTTTTAAAAAATGTAAATCAAATTGACCCACTAACCCCATGTGGCAATTTTTATTCTTTTCTGGCCAAACTATATTTTAAATACAGTGGGTACGGAAAGTATTCAGACCCCCTTAAATTTTTCACTTTTTGTTATATTGCAGCCATTTGCTAAAATCCTTTAAGTTCTTTTTTTCCTCATTAATGTACACACAGCACCCCATATTGACAGAAAAACACAGAATTGTTGACATTTTTGCAGATTTATTAAAAAAGAAAAACTGAAATATCACATGGTCCTAAGTATTCAGACCCTTTGCTCAGTATTTAGTAGAAGCACCCTTTTGATCTAATACAGCCATGAGTCTTTTTGGGAAAGATGCAACAAGTTTTTCACACCTGGATTTGGGGATCCTCTGCCATTCCTCCTTGCAGATCCTCTCCAGTTCTGTCAGGTTGGATGGTAAACGTTGGTGGACAGCCATTTTTAGGTCTCTCCAGAGATGCTCAATTGGGTTTAAGTCAGGGCTCTGGCTGGGCCATTCAAGAACAGTCACAGAGTTGTTGTGAAGCCACTCCTTCGTTATTTTAGCTGTGTGCTTAGGGTCATTGTCTTGTTGGAAGGTAAACCTTCAGCCCAGTCTGAGGTCCTGAGCACTCTGGAGAAGGTTTTCGTCCAGGATATCCCTGTACTTGGCCGAAAGATGAATAATTTTAAGGGGGTCTGAATACTTTCCGTACCCACTGTATATGTTTGTAAACAGTGAGGCTCAATGAAATATATTTTTGAAATTGAAAATATATTTATTTTCCACCTTCATATAGCCTACCAAATTATATTTCAAAATGTATTTCAAAGGCAAGAAAATAATCTTATGGATTTATAATGACCATAGACGCAAACTCACATTTCGGTGAAAACTCACCTTTTTGAGATCACAATAGATCACCTACGAGATTCGTGTAGATCCCTAGAAAATGCTTTTGTTCGTTTTGTGATAAGTGACAGGTTTGGACATACAAGGTAATAAAAACAAAAACAATAAAAAAGAAATAAATAAATGTGTCTGACTTAATAATGTAAACATTTTTATATATTGTAATGTTTGGAACATTGTAAAATATGTTTCTTGTTGAATTTTATTAAATTGCGTTATATGTTCAAACGAGTTATAGACAACAAATAAGGTTTTTCTTCAC